GGGGAGTGGGAGAGGGAGAAGCAGGCTTCCCGCCGAGCAGGGAGCCCGAGGCGGGGCTCGATCCCAGGATCCAGGGATCATGACCTGAGCCGAAGGCAGACGTTTAACGACTGAGCCACCCAGGCGCCCCTTCACTACTTATTTTAACATTAAAATATTTAAGACTCATAAAGGCATCATGGAAAATATCAATCTGCTATAAAGAATGCTCATCCAGCATTTTCAACATTCTCAGTATTAAGAAAGAATCTGGTCATTAGTCCCATAAATCTGTTTTGAATTATGTCTCACTTAAAAATGTAGCAAGATTTCAAGAAGGAGGGAGAGGTTTCACATTTAATTGTGACAGAACAATGTTACATCTTTAGCAAAAGTACTATAACAGGAAAAATATGTATCATTTTATATTTTAAACCCTTGTTAAGACCGAGAAGAAATGATCTCAATTTGCTGAACAATTATCGAATACAGCAAATCTGTATCCTTTTTTTAAACTTAGGAACAAGTCTCCTGCTTATTGCTATTCTTTTTTTTTTAAGATTTTATTTATTTATTTGACAGAAAGAGAGACAGTGAGAGAGGGAACACAAGCAGTGGGAGTGAGAGGGAGAAGCAGGCCTCCTGCAGAGCATGGAGCCCGATGCGGGGCTCGATCCCAGGACCCTGGGATCATGACCTGAGCCGAAGGCAGATGCTTAACAACTGCGCCACCCAGGCGCCCCCGCTTATTGCTATTCTTAACTGAATATTTTGCTTCTTTATTCATTCTTATCATGTACTTAATTATATTTAAATTAAGAAAATTTTATTATGAATTCTCCATAAATTAAAAATACTGACAATAATCAATGTTATAATTTGTAGGCTCCACACTTACTAGTGGTACAATATCCTCTTTGTATTGCTATAAATTTCTTTTTTTTTTTTTTTTTTTCTTTCTTAAAGCCTTTACTTTTGAGACATAATGGAAAAATGCGACAGATACACATGGAAAAGACATGATCACAGTTAAAAGTGAAGACAATCTAACCAGAAAGCTTTAACGCCTGTCAGCTAATGTTGAAGCTAAAGTTGAGTGTGACATGCTGCAGGGCTGAAAGGAATGGTAATTAGTATTCCTCTCCTTCTTCTTCACCCTCTCCTTCAACAGAATCCACACCAACCTCCTCATAATCCTTCTCAAGGGCAGCCATGTCCTCACGGGCCTCAGAAAACTCTCCTTCCTCCATGCCCTCCCCCACATACCAGTGAACAAAGGCACGCTTGGCATACATCAGGTCAAACTTGTGGTCCAGGCGAGCCCAGGCCTCAGCGATGGCTGTGGTGTTGCTCAGCATGCACACAGCTCGCTGTACTTTGGCCAGGTCTCCACCGGGCACCACAGTGGGAGGCTGGTAATTAATGCCCACTTTGAAGCCAGTGGGGCACCAGTCCACAAACTGGATGCTGCGCTTGGTCTTGATAGTGGCAATGGCTATATTGCTATAAATTTCTATTAAATCCTTTCTTTCCATCCAAAAATATCATACATCCATAGACACATGAGCTGATGTAATGAAATTCCCTATCATTTCATTAACAGATGCATTTTCAATAAGTTTACTCTATAATGTTTAATAATTACTAAGTTTTAATACATTTTAGTTGATTGAGAAGCCAAAAATATTATAACTGTGATAACTCACTCTAAACAATTGAGCACTTAGAATACAATGCTCATGGGAGTTTTAAAGATTTATTTATTTATTTTAGAGAGAGCGTGCATGAGAGAGAGCGTGGGGTGGGGGGAGGGGGGAGGGAGGGGCAGAAGAGAGGGAGAGAATCTTAAGCAGACTCTGTGCTGAGTGCAGAGCCCAACAGGGGGCTCAATCTCACAACCCTGAGATCATGACCTAAGCCCAAACCAAGAGTCGGATGCTTAACTGACTGTGCCACCCAGGTGTCCCTACTCATGGGAGTTTTAAAAAATATTGTATATATCCTGATTTTTCGCAGGGAATAATGAAATGATCAATAAATGATTTTTTTTTAATTTAAAGACTTAATTTTTTTTAGAGCAGTTTTAGATTCACAGCAAAAGTGACACAAAGGTACAGAGACTTCCCATATACCCAAGCTCCAACACATAGCCTCGCCATTATGAACATTCCCAATCACAGAGGTACGTGTGTTATAATTGATGAGACTACAATGACACATCATAATTATACAAAGTTCATAGTTCACATTATCATTCACTGTTGGGTTTGTACATTTACAGATTTGAACAAATACATACGGCTCTCTGTAATTATGGTATCCTATATTTTCACTGCCCTAAAAATCCTCTATGCTCCACCTATTCACTCCCTGTCCACTGTGACTTCCAAACCCCGGCAACCACTGATCTTTTTATTTTCTCCAGAATTTTGCCTTTTCCGAAAAGTTTTATCAATAGAATCACACAATATGTAGCTTTCTCAGATTTTCATTCACTTGGTAATATGCATTTCAGTTTCTTCCATATCTTTTCATTGACTGAGAGCTCATTTCTTTTTGTGCTGAATACTATTCCGTTGTCTGGATGTACCACTGATTACTAATCCATTCAACTGAAGAACATCTTGGTTGTTTTTATGTATGGGCAATTATAAAGTACATTATTTTATGTGCACATAAGTTTTCTAATTCATTCAGGTATATAGCAAGGAGTGTGAGTGCTGGATCACATGGTAAAAATATCTTGGATTTATAAGAAAATTCTAAGCTTTTTTTCCAAAGTGGCTACAACATTTTGCATTCTCACTAGCAGTGTATGAGAGTTCCTGTTGTTCTATACCCTCAGCAGCATTTGGTCTTGTCAGAGTTCTTGATTTTAGCCATTCTAATAGGTATGTGGTAATATCTTGGTGCTGTCTTAATTTTATTTCCCCAATGACATACAATGTGGACAATCTTTTCATATGCTTATTGGCCCTCTGTATATCTACTTTGGTGTGGTGCCTTAAAAGTCTTTGGCCCATTTTTTAAATGGGCTGTTTTCCTAGTATTGAATTTTAAGAATTATCTGTATATTTTGGATACCAGTCCTTTATCAGATGTCTTTTACAAATATTTAACAAAGTCTGTGGCTTGCCTTCTTATTCTCTTGATATTGTCTTTCACAGAGCCTAAGTTTTCAATTTTAATGAAGTCCATATCAATTACTTCCATGGATTGTGCGTTTGGTATTGTATCTAAAAAGTCATCACCATACTCAAGGTCATCTCAGTATTCCCCAGTGTTATGTTCCAGGAGTTTTGTAATTTTGTACTTTACATTTATGTCTGTAATCCACTTTGAGTTAATTTTTGTAAAGGATGTAAGGTCTGTGTCTAGATTCTTTTTTTTTTCATGTACATGTTCACTTGCTCCAGCACCATTTGTTGAAAACCAATAGAAAAAATTTTTCATGCAAGCATATTAAATTAAGATAAAAATCTTCTGAATAATTGAATGGAAATGAAGGTTCAAGGAGAAATATCCTACCCACAAAGAAATTTTGGAAGAAAACTTTACTTCTTTTTTAAATGGACAATAGCAGTTATCAAATTTCTAAGGCATTTAGATTTAATAAATGTATTTCTTTATTTAAAGATGTATTTATTTATTTTAGAGAGAGTGAGCAAGTGCAAGGAGAGGGAGGGTCAGAGAGAGAAAAATCCGCAAGCAGACTCCCCCCTGAGCATGGAGCCCTATGCAGGGCTTGATCCCAGGACCCTGAGATCATGACCTGAGCCAAAAATAAGAGTCCGACGCTTAAATGACTGGGCCACCCAGGTGCCCCTTAATGTATTTAAAAGAGTGATATAAATGTTTTACTTTAAAATATCAACAATTCCAATAATTTTTTAATTGAAGTATAGTTGACACATAACCAATAAGTCTCAAAATCATGGCTACTGCCAACTGCTTACACTTCATTAAAATTTTAGTTATTTCAAGTACGTTTTCTATGGTATGGTAGTCGACAACTCTATAGTGTTTTGTTTCATAATATTGGGGAAAAAAATTCAAATATAGTTCTTCATGGTTAGAAGGTTGGTGTTCTGGTCTAATAAACATATTGCAATTATCATGTGGTTAAAGAGACTTCTCTCACATTCACATTTGTAGTTGCAGTGAGAATATCTCTGTGATTTCTAAATGACTAGCAAATGAAGTCTGTCAGATCTTATTCAATTGCCATGAAATGACTGATATGCTACAATAAGCAAACTCCAGAAAAATCAGAGAGGGAGAGAGAGAGACTTGCTCAATCATAGAAGCCACCAAATTTATCACTTTTCTATTACATGTCAAGCACTGTCATCATATGGTAGGCTAAAAAAAAAAAAATCATCCCCACCGAAAGATATATTCACTTGCTAATCCCCACAACCTATAAATATTAATTTATATGCAAAATAGAGAATATTACCTTATATTGCAGAAGATGTGATAAAGTTTAGCACCTTCTGAACAGGGGCTTATTCTGGATTATCTGCCATGTATGTACGTAATGGTATGTATCCTTAAAAGAGAGAGGCAGAGCATGTTTTGAGGGATACACAGGAAAAGGTAACCTAAAGAGGGAAGCAAAGATTGGAATTAAGACACCACAAGCCAAGGAAAACCAAAGAATGCTGGATAGACAGAGGAAATAGAAAGAAGCTAGGAAAACTTCTATGCCAAGAGCTTTCAGAGGGTGTGGTCATAGACAAATCTTGATTTCAGATTTCTGACCTCTAGAACTGTGAAAGAATAAATTTCTGTTGTTTTAAGCCACGAAGTTCATGGTAATGGTATAATAGCATCAGGAAACTAGTAAAACTAGGTATAAAAGGATGGACAAAGTCCTAACTTCATAAACTTTCGTCTCTCAATAGATAAGGTTATTGGTACTAAAGTAAGTTATGCTAAAGTAGCTGTTTACAGCATGAAAACTTCTCAAAAACCACTTTTTTTTATTATGCTATGTTAGTCACCATACAGTACATCATTAGTTCAAAAACCACTTTTGCCACATTTTGTGGTTGTATATATAAGCCACTGTTAATTGTACATTCTGGATGTATGTGTTGAGAAGTATAGTACATCAGAAATGTTCAACACTGTTACTGCCTGCAACTTCAATGTAGATTGGACCTACAAAATGTTTTTCTTGCAGTAGTCAGCACAGAATGTATGGCCTGCAATTCATTTATATTTCATATGTAATTAGTAACTGGCAAGCAAACAAATTAGGTGCTTGATAAACACGCACAACTATATTTTTGAAGCAGTTGTATTTATGTTCAAAGGAAGGGACAGTTTTATGAATGTATAATCAAGGCTATAAAATTGGAAAGACAACAGAACTGAGCAGAGTTAATTTGGTGGTGGCAACAAATTCACACATTACACCAAGGCCCCCCACCTCCATGTGGTGCATGCACTGCCCTGATAAATGTTGCTCTTGGCAAAGCATCATGCAAAAATGAGTCTGGAGATCTGTCTTCTCTTGCTGTCATCCATTATTACTCCGCTGAGGAATGAGTGGCTGTAAAATAAAGATCTGCACCAGTAGAGATAACAGACTCCCATTTCCTACCTGCCTCAAATATCTTAAAACGTATGTTGGAAGATGCTTCTCAAAACTTGCCATTTCCTGTACAAATTGGCACACAGGTATGGCATATAGATGTGGTCATTACTAGATTCACAAGCATTTTCAGAATAGATAAGCAATGTGTTCACAGAAGTTATGCCATTAGGCACGGCTCCAAAAAGAACATGGCTTTGCTCCTGGGATGCAATAGTATAAATAACTTTGTATTTGACAAAATAAGGAAAGCAGGTAAAGTTTGTCTTCATTGTCAGTCAAGAAATATTTATTAAGCACCAATTATGTAGCCAGCACTGTGCTAGGTACTATAGATATAGCAGTGGTTACAAGAGACAATCTTAACCTCATAGAAACTTATATGGTGGTGAATTGCAAAAGAAAATAATATAAAATAGCGAAAATGATGGGAGTATCACAGGGGCAAGTGACTTGCAATTTTAAATAAAGGAGCTGCATAGGCTTCATGGGGAAGGAGACTTTGAGAAAAAAATTGAAAAAATATGAGCACACAAATCCCTTAGATGTTGGCAGACAGAGCATATCATGCACTGAGAACAGAAAGTGCAAAGGTCCTGAGGTAGAAGCATGTCTGGTATGTCTGAAAAAAAAAAAAGACAAAACAAAACAGATAAACTGCATGGTGTTGCTGGGGGTAAACAAATGTTAGGGGACTAGTAGGAGATATGGTTAGAGAAGAAATGGGATTCCTATTTGGATACAAGGGGCAACCACACAGGGTAGGGTCATAAAGACAATTAAAAGTACTCTGTATTTTATTCTGAATGACACAAAAAGTCCTTGGAGGAACTGAGCAGAAGAGTGACATGGTTTAACTTATGTTTAAAATAATCATCCTGGCCTCTATGATTAGTGAATGCAAACAAAGACAGAAGAAGGGAGATCTTTTAG